AGCTTCCCACCCTAGTTCCAGAAAGTTATGAAGGATCTCGGTCACCTTATGAGGGTACTTTACCTTTATCACATGTTTGGGGTCATAACCTGTAGTCCAAACACTTTCTCCTCTCATGCCAGTTTTCAGACCTCAGTGTATTTAATGAGACATTTAGGAGGAAGGAAAATTAAATGACATTCATTCATGGTGAGATCAGTGTTACCTAAAAATGCCAGAGCCTATTTTTTTAATATATTTTATTGGAACCCTTCAGTCCGCAGGCCGACGCTCTATCCACTGAGCCAAACCGGTTAGGGCGAGCCTATTTTGTCTCTAGTTCTTGTCTGTGGGTCATGGCTGTGACCCTGTGCTCAGCTTATCTGACCTATGCTTTTCCCAGTTATACACCTGTGAGTGGAATTGCTGGATCATAAGATAACTATGTTCAACGTTTTGAGAAAGTGACAACAGCTACACCATTTTCCCACTAGCAGCGAATTTGGGTTCAGATTTCTCTATATCCTTGCCAACACTTGTTATTGCTGTGTGTTTTTATCATAGTCACCCTAGTGGGTATGAAGTTGTATCGTATTGTGGTTTTGATCTCAATTTCTCTAATGACTAATGATGTTGAGCATCTTTTCATGCATTCATTGGTCATTTATATATGTCTTCTTTGGAATATTCTCAACTTTTGTCTAACACAAATATAGGCTAATTGAGGGAATTTTATGCCAAATATAATGACAGGATCTTGGATAAGGTTTTGTAATGGGACAGACCTTGCATAGCCCATAACTCAAACCAGCGGGTCAGAGGCTTCAGCCCTGACATTGACCTGCAGAAGTCATGATGAATAGACATGTGCGTACATACAGCAGCAATACACATTGCCTCCAGTAGCTAGACAGTCATTCATATGTTGGGGTTATGGTAGATGTGTGATTATTCTGTAGGGATTGAGATAGAGTTTTGAGGGATTTACTGAATGAGAATACAAAGTAATAATAAAACCAAGAGATCCTTGCCTTGTCTCAGTTTTGTGAGTGGATCGGTGTAATTTGGGCACTCACCCTCAACTTCTTTGTTGGTAGAGTAGAGTATTGAGCTCTGGTTTCTAGTTCTAAGTAATTTATGTAACTCTTTGAGAGGAAAGGAAACATCAGGGAATAATGAAAAGATTAGAAAAAGTATGTATGGGCCTATCAAGGGCTTTTTCTCCTGATGGTGATGATGACAAGGACTTCATAGATAGAGCCGTCTGGAAGAAAAGAGCAGATTCCAACTCTGCAATGTGTGTGGAAACCTATTGAAGGTGTAGGAAAGGTTTGCTGAAAGGTTCCCAGGGAGGGCGGTGATGGAAACCATGCTACTGACAGGGACATTTTAACTACTTACCAATGGATATTTCATTATTAAATGGTTCTTAGGAGCACTTTCTAGGTGCTATAGATGGAGAGGAAATGGTGTAAATTCAGAAAAGGAGCAAGGCAAGACATTTCAAGGATATAAAATAAAAAGGAGAAATCCGTTCTGGGCTATTTTCCTCCCAACGCCAAGAAGCAGCAGCTGGTGGTGGCTGTCATTATAAAAAAAAAAAGCTTCAGGATAAATGATGACACCTGCCAAGAGACTTCAGATACTCGTAGGTCGTGGAAAACACGAACTAATTAATTATCACAACCCCCTTGGGAGGTGGGAAGTAGCATTTCCTAGTTGTATGGGTGGGTAAGTGTCAGCCCATAAACATCAGTGGTTTGGCCCCTTGACACAGTGGAGCTGTGACAGGACTGGGAACAAAATGTCCTGGCATTTCAACTTCCAGACATGTGGGTTTTTTCATGGCTGCAGGGCTGGTAGAACAGCTCAATTGTGATAGCTCGGCTGTGAGGCAGCCCTGGGGCCAGGCCCCTCTCTGGCTGGACAGCTCTGCTCTGCTCCTTGATGGTCTGCTCTGTTCTGCTTTGCCAGTCTGCTTTGTGCTTTGCTGGTCTGCTCCTCTCTGCGGTGCTGGTCTGCTCTGCTCTGGCCTGAGCTGGTCTGCTTCTCTCTGCTCCAGGGAGGTAACTTTGGTGTTTCGGCTCAGCCAGGGAGGGAGACTCAGTCTTCGGTGGAAAGTTCACTCCCAGACTTTCATTTTTAATTTCTATTCTAATTCATCCTCTTAATGAATGTGTTCCCCTTTCTTACACAATGACATTGGCCAGCGTATGTACTCCTGATTTGTGGGTACATAATTACTAGGTGTAGTTATTCCCAAGGATATAAAATCATCACATTTGAGACGGGACCTTAAAAATCATATACTTTAACACTCTCATTATATATGTTACTCCCCGTACACATACAATTTACTGGTACCAGAGTATAGACCAGAGCCCTTATTTGAAAATGTCATGGTTAGAGGTCCCCATAAAAGCTATCAAACCCCACAATGCATTTGGCTCTTTTTTTAAAATATTTTTTTTTATTGATTTCAGAGAGAAAGGGAGAGGAAGAGAAAAACATCGATGAGAGAAAATCATTGATTGGCTGCCTTCTGCACCCCCCTTACTCGGGAACTGAGCCCACAACCCGGACATGTGCCCTTGACCAGAATCAAATCTGGGACCTTTAATCTGCAGGCCGACGCTCTATCCACTGAACCAAACCAGCTAGGGCAGACCTGGCTCTTAAATCTTCTGTACTAGCTCTCTGTTAAGTGTCTGCCCAGCCTGATTAAACACAACCAGTGATTACAAAGCCACCACTGGTAGGCAGCCTATGCCACCTCCCAATGGCAAGGAAGTTCTCCCTCCCCTTCAACATCAAACCACTGCCCCTCCACACTGACCCCCAGCCCCTGCCTACCCGTCTATAAGACCTCTCTTATTTCACTTTCCTGGCCATCTTTATTGCTGTTAACTGCTTTCAGTAACTGCTTTTGAAGCCCAATCTATAGATGTCACCAACAATAAAATAATAAGTAAGGAGAATTATCTAATAGGAAATTACACATAAAAAGGCACTTTTGAGGCAAGGTCAGAGGGCATTGATGAAGCATATATACTAGTAAAACATTAGGGAAGCAAGGAAATTCCATTACTTGCCTACTATCTATAAACACTGGAGCTATAAAGCAATATTTCCTGAAGGAATACAGAGATATTCCCTGCCCTTCAGAAGCTTATGTTCTAAAGAAAGACAGAAGAAATGTACCAGTATAAGTTTTGACTTGCTATCAGAACCCAAGCAATGATGTGCTCTGGAAATACGATATTCCACTGTTGTTTATAAGATGTTGCTGAGCAATAACAGGCATGGCTATTCATAAACATAGTCACTAAAAATTAAGTGATCAGCACAGTCACTGAGTTGCACAACTGCAGGAGCCTTCATTACATAATTTCCTGTGAGAATGGCGGCCCCTGGATACCAACTCGCTGCACCTATAGAGCACCTACTAAGTGCTAGGTCACTGTACCTCGAGTGTATAATGTTGAACAAAAGGAATTAATCCTACTCCCTTATAACTTCCTCTTCTGAGGAGGAGACAGACATTTAAGAAATACATATGCAAATAATCATAGGACTACAGTTTTGGTCAATACTATAAAAGGAAAAGAACAGTTTGCTGTAGAAGAAATGTAATTTTTTTAAATGTAATTTTTTCTACAAAGAAAAACTTCTCTATGAGTACCTGGCATTTCCTGAGACCCAAAGGCCACACAGGGATTAATCTGGCAGAGAGAGGGAAAATATGCAGGCAGAGGTGGGAGATCAGTGAGCTTTAAGACCTGAGAGAAGGGGCCGTGCTCCAGAGTGAGTAGCCAGGATGAGGGACTAGCAGCTAGTCACTAGCTCATGTGGAGCCTCATGGGCCAAGGAGGAGTTTGGGGTTGAAGCTAAGTGCAATAGGATGTGTGATAAGAGAGAATTAGGTAGATACTTCCCTGCTGGGAATGACATATGGGGGCCGATGAGCAAGAGGATTGTGGAGAAATCTGTCTGTGCATAGATGCTCAGTAAACAAATATCAAACTGAACTATTTATTTTCAATGTGAAGATTTTAGTTCTGATGTGTTTCTTTTCTATTTTCTAAACTTAATAGAAATGTTTTCTGTTAGAACATCTTTTGCCCTGCCTGACACAGATATATCCCAGTCAAGTGATTCAGTCTGTTAATGACAAACATAGCTGAGTCCATAAAACAAAACTTGCTCTGGCTAATCATTCCCTCTGTTTCAAACTCACTTGAGCCTCAGGCATTTTTTTGGATTTTGCTGCCACCTAGTGTCTCTGAAAACATAAGTTTGTGTTTCTGAACAAGATACTCCCCAAAACTGTACAACTCTGCAAATATATTTCTACTTCTGAAATGGGAGAATGTCTAATTTGGTTTTCTTTATATTGCATTTAAATCAATATAAAATAATTCTAGTCTTATTTATAACCCTCTCTCTTTTATCTGTTCAGTTATCTAGGATTTCACTGATCCCTCTGTTTTGCACTCCTACAGTCTTAAGGCTTGCCTGTGAAAATTCCTCACAGATGCTGGGTGAGGTGGACCAGGATGCCCAAGTATCTGGCCTTCGGGGGCAAGTAGGAGTTAAAGTCCAACTCATAGCCTGCTTCCTAAGTCAAATGCAGAGGGGTTGTGGCTGCTCAAGGACTGGCATCTTTTTCTAATTTGCAAATATAAGTTATCTGCAGCCCCGAATCACTCCACAGTAGCCCCCACACAAAATTCAGGGCTCTCCATTCCCTTGAAACTATTGGTTTTAGGATGAGTTTTAGTTTCTGTTTTTACAAGGCTTATAAAGATCATTGGCCCAAAATATATTCTCAAGCTTTTGCAGTTCAGTTTGGTTTGGTTTTGTTAATCACTTTTGCGTAGAACACTGCAGTGACGAATGCTCTTTTCAGAACACAAGTGGGGATATCCATGCATTGGTGTTCCCCTCCTCCGTGCACCTGTTCAGACACACCAGAACACGTCTTTTTCACCACACCCTTCGTTATAATTCTCTCTTCACAGGTCCCAAGCCACTCGTTTCCGTTGGCATCAGCCAGCTCCTTTTGACAAGCAGCAGACATGGGCGATAGATAATGTCTATATCGGGGATGGCTGCATAGACATGTGCAGTGGCCATGGGAGGTGCATCCAAGGAAACTGTGTGTAAGTAGATGTGTTCTCTTCCTTGTGTAGAAAGTCCCTGACTCACATTCCAGCCAGGAGATTTTTCTGAAACTGGTTTATTAGTCATTCCCAAGCTACCTTAGGTTATATATTTGTCCTAAAATCTGATGCTGAGCTAACTACAGAGTTTATGGCAACTGCATCTTCATTCTTGCTTGGAGATGAGGAACTGAACAATAGCTATCTTATCAGGAGAAAGCTGAAGTATAAGTGACTGATTTTATTTCCTTCTGTGTTTCTGTGATACACCAGAACCTTGAAACAGACATTCAGAGAAGAGCAGGGGTTTCATATGTTCTGACCGAAAGTAATACATCATTAAGTATTTTCCTCACGTAGGTCTGAATATATGTAAGGATATACATTACTGTGGTTTAATTGGTCTTCCCATGCTCTTTGCTAAAGAAAGTACATAAATACCTGATCAATTTACCAGGTATATATTTGATGGAGAGGCCCGTTATTTTGTTCTTAGAGATCCTTGGCATCTTTGGAAGGATCTAAACGAGGTAGGGGTGTGTGTGTGTGTGTGTGTGTGTGTGTGTGTATGTAGTGTGTGTGTGTGTGTGTGTGTGTGTGTGTGTGTGTCCCCGTGTGTTGTGTACTACAGGCCTCTGTGCTTTATTTTCAAAGATTATACTGTTTGATAAATTGAAGATGCTAAGAGAGAATTCATAGTGCCTTCTCCACTAATCTCCACACACCTGGGAAATCTTTCTTTTGTTTAATGATCTGGCCCATATCCAGAATCATCTCTGAAACTCCTGAGCCTCCCAGTTCTGAATTCATATTTCCTCCCACATGGAACAGAGAAGTCAGTCCTTTGGTCAAAAAGGTCAGATGCTGTTCAGAGTACCTTCTGCTGTTAGAAACATGGCTTCTTGGATTCCCAATTGGCCCAAAGGCTCTGTTAAAAAGACCAGTTCTGTAAATTGTTAGGGCCTACCAGTTTAGTTTGGCATCTGCAGCTGTTCATCAGCCATCCAGAACTGTGTCACATAGAGACAGGGCTTTAGTAAATTTTTTGAAGTTGCTTTTTTCTCTCCACCTATAAATCCATGCCATTACTTTAAGAAAGCCTAGAGGCATTTAATCCACAGCTTATTTTTAACTTAAAGCACTCTTATGGAGAGGAGGTGAGTCCTGGCAAGCTCTGTGAAGATGAGTAACCTTTCATCATCATGGATGGGAAAAAGGTTCGGCTTCACTAATTTGAGCACATACTTGTGCAGGGCTATGTTTGATGTTGACTTTTCCTGTCTCTTTCTCTGCACCCAGCTGTGATGAGCAGTGGGGTGGCCTGTACTGTGATGAGCCTGAGACCTCCCTTCCAACTCAACTCAAAGACAACTTCAATCGAGCTCCATCCAACCAGAACTGGCTTACTGTGAATGGAGGGAAATTAAGCACCGTGTGTGGAGCTGTGGCTTCAGGAATGGCTCTTCATTTCAGCGGGGTGAGTGGTTGGCTACTGGGTAATCATTTCTGCATCCTCTGAGATTCCCCCAAATGGTGGCATCTCGTTTAAGGTTTAATTGGCAGATCAAGATGCAGAGTTATGCATTCAAAACGCACAGCCCAGATCTGAACTTGCAATTTTATACTTATCAGCATACACTAATTATTTCCAACGTTTTCCTATCACAAATCAGCTGAGACAATTTAATTATGCAGGGCAGTGCCAGCACGAGGCATATTTAAGTACATATGTTTAGAATTTCTATCCTGGGAGAGAGTGCTGGCACAATGTGTGAGGGTCTTCCATCTTGATGATGCTTTAACTGAAAACTCTTGAGTTTGCAACAGATTTTAGAATTAAGGAGCCAAAATCTAGAAAATGAGCTTCAGTGTTTCCTGTATTTGTTAATAACTGTTAATCCTTTATGTAAATTATACAAGAAAGAATAATTGTCAGTAATTACTAGGTACTTGTATTTATAGCAAATTATTTTCTGAATGACAGCAGCAATATTGGAAAATTTCTTTCAGAAATTTATACTCATCCTACATTGCTGCCAAAGATGGCTTGTTTAAAAATAGTATTTCTCGCCCAGCTGGGCTCAATCCCCAACTGAAGGGAGGGTGCAAGAGGCAACTGATTGAGATGTTCCTATCTCTGTATTCCTCTCAATAAAAATATTTTCTTAATATAGTATTTCTCCAATACCATAATTAAATACCCCTCACAGGCAATTGAATTTTTTTATTATAAATTTAGCCCTGACTGGTTAGAGTATCCGCTCATGCACCTAAGAGTCACAGATTCGATTCCCAAGCATGGACACATACCTGGGTTGCAGGTTTGATCCCTGGGCCCGTGCAGAGCCTGTGAGGGAGGCAATCGATTGATATGTCCCTCTCACATCGATATTTCTCTCTCTCTTTCTCTTTCTCTCTCTCTCTCTCTCTCTCTCTCTCTCTCCTTTCCTTCCCCTATTCTACTCTCTTTTTTTAAAAAAAATTATAAATTTACTGTCAGTTCTTTATTTCCCTATCATGCCATACCTTTGAGTTTGCATTTGTGCCAATGAAGTACATTATCTATATTCAGTGTTTAGGCCCAAGAGTAACAAGAGGACATACAGCATATAGAATTTTTTTAACCAACCACACTGACTAGGAATGCAGTGTGTGTTCACAATACTCTTCCTAGCTTCGGTGCAACTCTAAGGGGCCTCGTTTTCCTCATATGTTCAACCAAGAAATCTCTACCTATCTACATTAATGAATTAATATTGGTGACATTCAAATCAGCTATAAAGTTTAAATAAAAAGCACTACAACTATTATCTCAATTATAATAAATGCCTATGAATAACTGGGAAATGTTTAATAAAAAACATAGAACAGTTACTTTAATTCCAACTCTCATCATGCTTATAAGAAAATAGAATCTTCTTAGATACATTGCCCTTTGTAAGTTCTAATACAGAAACATCAAAGTTTAGCAAATATTTGCTGAGTACCTATTGTGTGCTAGAAGCCATGCTAGGAGCTAGGAGAGATGAATAAAATGGGTATTATAATACTATGTGACTTGTACTATAAAAGAAAAACGAAAGGGCTGGAAGCCAGAGAAAACCAATAACATGCCATCACAATTCCTTATCGCTGTCTGTTCCATTCTGCTTCTCCTTAGGGTTGCAGTCGACTGTTAGTCACCGTGGATCTAAACCTCACCAACGCCGAGTTTATCCAATTTTACTTCATGTATGGATGCCTGATTCCGCCAAACAACCGAAACCAAGGGGTCCTCTTGGAATATTCTGTCAATGGAGGCATCACTTGGAACCTGCTAATGGAAATTTTCTATGACCAGTACAGCAAACCTGGGTTTGTATTTTCTTTTATCTCTAATAACAAGTATGATTAGCAAAGATTCTTGGTGAGCCCTGCCAGTAATCAATCACGGGGACTTATGGGGACCTTGACATTACCCATCAGTAGAGGATGCCTCTGAAACCAACCGACATGAAGGTGAGGTTTTTGAGATGGATAAACAGCTGGTTTGGGATTTTAAGACCAACTAGTTTTCAAATCCCAGAATAAGAAAAAGTATAATACCAATAATGAATAGACCCAGTACAAAAAAAACCATATATACATGAGACTGCAATAATTAAGTTCAACAGCATTTTGGGAAAATGAAAACAGAAAAAAAAACTTATTTATATAGGTTCTTTCCATTTTAGAGAATTGGGGGCTAGAAAATAAACACAATAAAATGTAAATATCCTTAAGAATCCTAGAGTCTAGTTTTAAACTCCTTATTTAAAAACCCTGAATAGCCCTGGCCCTGTCCTACAACACTAATATTAAGAGTAAAGGGAGGTAAGTTAACATGGATTAAAAGTGAGATTTTATGCAGAGAATAAACCTCAGGAAATTATTTTCCTCAACAGACTTTATGAGTTGTGAATATAAGATTTAAAGGGTTTCACATATCCCTGGGGTTTAAATGCATAATTGTGACTAAGGGGTATTTCAGAACTGATTTCTCGCTGGTGAAGGTTCATGTGGAGGGTGGAGCCATGTTCTTCCATGTCTGTCCATGGGGCTGAGTCAGGGGTGGCGTGCTGGGCTCATTAGCCCGTGGTTCTCACTCCGCAGTTCTTAGTACAACACGTAAAGACAAAGTCAATGTCAAACCACAGGCAACTGGTAAAGTAATTACTTATAGCCTGGTACTGTCAGGCTGAGAGTCCAAACGTCCTGCCACAATCTAGTGTGCATATTTTGAGCAAATTGCTGGTATTCGTTGGGAATAGAATGAAATCAAGGAGCCAGGAGAAGGAAACAGATGAAATTAGCTCTAAGGTGACATTAAAAAAAAAAGTGAACTGCCAGAACCGGTTTGGCTCAGTGGATAGAGTGTCGGCCTGCGGACTCAAGGGTCCCAGGTTCGATTCCGGCCGGGGGCGTGTACCTTGGTTGCAGGCACATCCCCAGGGAGGGCGTGCAGAAGGCAGCTGATCGATGTTTCTCTCTCATCGATGCTTCTGGCTCTCTATATCCCTCTACCTTCCTCTCTGTAAAAAATCAATAAAATATATATATTTTTAAAAAGTCAACTGACTTATGTCTACCGAAGTGCATATACTCTTGTCTGCAGATCCCAGGCAAGCAGAAAATTGTGGAGTCCTTCTAAGGCAGCCCAGGGGCAGTCCAGTAAGTCAACTGACTTATGTCTACCCAAGTGCATATACTCTAGGTCTGCAGATCCCAGGCAAGCAGAAAATTGTGGCGTCCTTCTAAGGCAGCCCAGGGGCAGTCCAGTA